AAAGCATTTCACAGTGAAATGTCTCCATCTTGATGCAATAACTTAAGATTTCACCAAGAAGATAAAATGCTGCATAGTGAATAACTTTCTTTTTAACTAAAACTTATTTTCTTTCACCGATATAAAGTGTAGTGAGTCCAACTAGTTTATGTGATTTCATAATTTTTTCTTTTCAGTAAATAATGTAGCTTTAGAGTTTGTCTTTAAGAAAGTAACTAAAACTTCTATTAATTTAACTGAATACTCAGCCCTGTCAGGGGTTCATTCAGCATATTATGTGATCATGTAACTGCTTAAATAACTTTAATATTCAGTTATTTCCAATTCAGTTCAGCCGCTTCTATCTTGTCTTTGCACAATGATACAGTGTCATAGGGTTTGCTTTCTTACTCACACTGATGCCGACCGTATTTTCAAAAATTAGCTTGTAACCACTTTCATTGGACACTAGTTAGGAACTAGTGTATGATGTGTCTAGTCCTTTCTTTGGTGGAGACTGAATTCTATCAGTCAGGTTTGTAATGTGGCTGCCATGCTCTTAGGTGACTCACCAACATGGTGCACTTTGAATTGTTGGTATTAGATGGTTGCAGGCAATCGTCAGGAATCCCTGATTGACCTAAGTTTCGTGCTAGTTGGCACTCCCAGTCAGTCAGCAAGGCGTATCTGCAACCTTGAAGGAACCCATGTCCCTCCTGAGATTGGAACCCGCGACACCCAGTGTCCAACCAAAGTATCCGCTAAAGTCCTACAGGAAGTCAATCGCGAGTCTGAATAGCTCAGTGGTAACGTCTCTGACTGCAGGTGGCACTGGGGGACGCGCGTTTGAATCTCAGAAGGGACATTTGGTCCTTCAAGATTGCAGATACCCCTTTCTGACTGACTGGCGAATGCCAACTAGCAACAAACCTAGGTCAGGCAAGGCTTCCTGCCGATTACCTCCAACCATCTAATACCAAGAATTTATGTAAGAAGAAAAACTTATCGTTCGGTGTTTGACCACTAATTCTGAAGAAAATAAATTTCCATAATTTTGGTAATTAATAAGGTATATATATATGTATATATGGGATACGTCTTAACCCATTTCTAGGACTTAGCTGCAGCACACTGGCACTAAAAGTTATTTAGACAGATTTTATTAATGTGTTGGTTATCATTCTACTTTAACAGATTGATTAATGCACAAAGAATATTCTTTTCGATGATCTCTTCTCTATCAGTTTCTACATTCAAACTGTAGTAGTGGTATAACAAATACTGACATTAGCAACATTAATCCTGTTTTAAATTGCACTGAATCAATGTCAGCGACAGATTACAGTTCAAACAAAGAATATTCCATAAATTAAGGGAAATGGTACAGAATTAATGATTTTACAGGTTTAAGAGCAGGCAAGGTTAGCAACAGTGACTTGTTGGACCTGTTTCTTTTGCACACAGATTTAAACAAATTTCAGCGTTCTTTGATATTTAGACCATTCAGTATGTAGATGCTTTTGGTAATTTTTTCGACACTCGATAGATGATAAAGAAAGACTTCACTTCTGCTAGATTTGTGGCCTGTTTGGATGAGGTGGTTCAACAGACAACTGCTGACCGTTTTTTCAACACTTAAAATCAAATTACTAGAGTATTAGCCAATATAACTGACTCCATAGAACCAGTTGATAGATTGATAGGTACAATTAGAGGTGGCTAGCCTAGGTACTTCGTCTTTCAGTTTCGGAATGATTACTGGTTGTGTGAAAAATATAAGCTGCAGCTTATCAGTATTAAACGTTCTTTGAATCGATTTTCTCAACTTGTTGATTATTATTTCATTCACTACATCCCCTTTGAATTGGAGTAGTATATATAGAGGATTCTTGTTAACGGATACAGAGGAATTCTCTTCTACTCTTTTAGCCATGTGTTTTATGAAAAACTTTTTAAGGTACCAGTTTTCAATTAACATGTTGTATACTACCCTTAGTTCATCTTCAATCTCATCTTCTGAGCAAATAGTTCTGAAGGTCTTTATCGAATTTCTTTTTATACTGGAGATGACAAAACTGTGGAGACGTGTGTATTGAACAGTCCAAATACTTTTCTTATACAACTACGTTTTTATGCTACCGTTTGGTCTTTTTGTCAGTAGGATGTCTAAAAAGGCAATTTCACTTTGGGATTCTTCTTCACATGTGAATTTGATAGCTGAGTGTACTTCATTGAATCGGGATATTATTGCGTCCTTATCCAAATCATTTTCATAAAGAATGAAGGTATCGTCCATGTACCAGCAATAAAATGACAATTTTCTGATATGGTTGTTTAAAGGGCCACTTTCTGGTTTATTCAGAAGCGGAGACTCCATCGTCATCCCATCCACCCGTATATAGAGTTCACCATCAAATTCAAAATTCACACTCATGATACACATTAGCAACAGTTGTTTAAGGATTTCTATTGGGATCCCAATATGTTGATTGACTTGTTATTTATTTGTTCACAGATGTAATTAATCGTTTCAGTTATAGGTGCATTTGGGAATAGAGGTGTTTCATCCAAAGATATTATAGTTTTTACTTTTGCTGTCAATAATATTTAATTCCGTCTGTGAATTAAAGCACTTCTTTCACACTTTATTTTACTAAATTATCGTGTGCAAGGGTTTTAGAATAGTTACCAACCACTTATATCAAGTGTCGTAGGATGAAATTTGCATGTGTAGAATTAGTTTCAGTGGCACTACAGGTTTGTGTACTTCAGTTAAATCATATAATCGTGATGTTTACGTACCCGTTGGTCTAATCTCGTTATATAAACTTTTGGGAAGTATGTGTTCCCCCAGTAGCTTCTGTAAATGTTTTATTGTTTCATATTCAAATTTACAATATATATATATATGTTGAACAAACTACAGACCTTCATCAACAGCTGTCTTTGCTCAATACTCAATATCAGATAGCCAGAATAGATCAGCAACAAGGATCTCTGGGAAAGAACCAATACGGCAAGAAACAGTTGTGCAACAAATATGCAGGAAGAAATGGAGGTGGATTGGCCACACTCTGAGAAAACCACCAGGTGACATCACACGCCAGGCGATTGATTGAGTGGAACCTGAATGGGCAGCGGCGATTTGGTCGTCAGCACAAGAGTGGCATGGAGTGGAGGAAGTCATGCGAAGAGGAGATGAAAGCATGTAGACAGACGTGGAACCAGGTGATGAAAACGTGGGTGGAGAACTGAGCGCAATCAAGAAGTGTAGCTGAAGCCCTATGCTCCTCTAGGAACTAAAGGAAACAATAGCATACATATATATCTTTTATCTGCTCCAGTCTCACCGATCAAAATAACACATGTTAGATTTCCTTTAACATTAGATACTAAAATTTACAGGTTATAATCGATTAATGGATATTTCTGGATAAACCTTCAATAAAAAATTATCTTCATTTAATTTTGCTTCATCAGTTCATTCAGGAACTCACATGAACTCAGAAAGTAAAAAGTCGAAGGTTCCAACAGCTCCCATAAAATCAGTCTTCCGAAGATTGCAATTCACTAGTAATGTCAATAGCGAGATCTTATCACAACGTCTGAGAAGGGCCTTCAAAAGGACTTTCAACGCAGCTTAGCTATGTTGTGTATTCACTAGCCAACCAATACTTAATTGAAGAAATAGTGACAGACTACTCTTTTTCGCTTCTTACATATGTATTTACCAGTTTAACTGCTCCGGGGGGAGCTAATTACATAAGGCGTATGATCAGACAGGTTCATCGTCTGATTTCTGAGCACCTCCCATCTTGGTTTGTTAAAGGTCCGAATAAAGTGATTCACAGTTCAGTGCTAGCTCATCTCGACAATACTGGACATCAGGTCTACTCTGATGAAGCTTTTAAAGTTATTTATCACATTTTACCCAACCTCGCGTATGGTCTACAAGTACGACTTTTACATTCAGCAGAAACAATCGGAATTCACCTGAACAAACGAAATCTATGTGTTCAAAAAAAATTTGTACAACCCCTTTCTTTGCCATGGCCAACTACTTAATTTCTATGGAGTTTTTAAAAACGAGTCTTTCCCCTCCCCTGTAACTATTTTTGACTTTGTTAATTTTTACAATTTCTATAATTCTAACTAATTCTGTTAACTTGTTTTTATTTTGCGTATTTCTTCTGAGTCATTCTATTCTTCTTAGTCATCACCGCTATTTTACAAATTTCTTGATTATGTAATAACTTGTCGCTGACGCCTAAGAATCAACTTATCCTGAATTCCTTAATTAATTTTTACCCCTCCCTCCTTCAAAACTTAGATATCTTGTTACTAACATCTATTAATCAACTCTTCTGATGACTTTTAACCTCTCAATTTCACCCCGCCCCCTATACTTAAAACTGATTAACTTGAATAACCACCTGATTGGTAAAACATTTTGATGTTAAAAACGACTATATGTTAGTGTAGAGCCGCCGATGATGAGGAACTAAATGAAAAGGAATAGGGCTCAGTCTGTTGCTTTTTTTCTCAATGCTTATGGGAATTTTCAAATCACTCAGGAAATCACTAAAAATACCAAACCATTCGCTTTTTGTATTCCTTAGGATTTTTAATCCAAAGATATTTGTAGTATTCTATGGTAAAGGCTCTAGTCTACCTTCCTATTAATTGACTGTGTTATCTAAATCCTGCCACTATTCACTGCATCTGACGCCCATAACACACCGGAAAAATGATACACATATAAGGCTTAACGCTACTACTTCGAGACTGGATTTAGTTTGGGCACTCGTTTCCCCTTTCACAAAAACGTTTTTCTGTATACCATTTTACATAGTTGAATGAAGTAAAAAAACGCAGTTAAATAAAGAAACTTTTTAAAATTTTATCTTGAACATGTCCTTGAAAAGACCTGACAAATATACACTATTTTTGTTTATTTGTTAAATATGTTCAACCTACTTATTATTTATGTTTTTATTCTCTGTTTATCGTTATCTAACTAGGCCAAAACTAATCTACGTGAACTTTTTCATCCAACATTTACATGGATTCAACAAATGGTCAAAGGATTGATTTATCAAGATGAAAATATGAATGCGTTTAAGCCTACTGAAATCACCACCACTGATGGCAGTAATATAGTTAGTGGAAGTGAAAAATTAACAAATTATCCAAATATGTTTTTTCAAAATATCCATCATGGACCAGAATATGATCTGTTACACAATACAACAACTTCAAATATGACTTCGAATACAATGAAAAATCTTGTAGACTCAAGTAGTGCACCAAATAATCAAACTGATATATCATCATGTCGGACAACTGCTATGGTTGAAAGGAATGATCCGAGTGGAACTAATTACTCGAATACTTTTGAAGATTCTAAACACCTGTATGAGTATTTAACGAAACAACAGAGTCAATTGAATAAAACAATGAAAATGAAATACGGTAGTACTACTTGTGCTTCTGTTCCTGATGGAAATTACAGTACTCTGAGTAATACTTTCACGCCTAACGCTTATATGTTTACATCACCGACGAGTCTGCCTACATCTGCAACTATTCCAGTCCAAAATCAATCAGCACTGTATAATCTACAAAAAGAATCTGCAAAATATTTCACTTATGATGGACAACATCGTAAATTTTATCTGATGGCACGTTATCTACGCTCAGTGCAAAGACAACGAAGGCATAAAAGACGAGTGAGAAAACGTCTTCAAGAACAAGCACGCGCTGAATTAAAAAGGCTGGAAAATGAAAAGTTGTATGGAACACTAGTAAAGCATAAAGATAATCCTAAAACGGAAGTTAGGAGACGACATGTTCATAAGACAAATTCTTTTGATAGTGTTTCTAACGACAAGGTATCAACAGGTTCAACTATACTTAGTGAAAGTGAAACAGAATATGTTAGTGGTGATGGGACAATACGTTTACTGTGCTGGAAAGATATTGATATTGATCTAGAAGTAAGATCAGTTGATGAGGAAAATAACGACACACAGACCTTAAAGTCTACCGAGAATATAAACTTTGATAATGCAGAAGAAGGCGATAGTTCAACTGTCATTGTAAATACAAACGTCTGTGATATAAAAAGTCGCCTGGATAGAACCTATTCAACTAAAGATTCGATGCATAGAATAAAACGTAGAAAAATTCACTGTAAAACACCAAATTCTAAATCTTTCAGTAATTTTAAGCAAGTTGCTCAAAATGAACTTCCTTCAACACTTTCCTGTAAGACATCGGCAAATGATACGCTGGATCATACAGCAATGTCTAGTAGAAATGCAATCTTTGGTTCAAATTTACATTCACCGAAGAAACAAATGTTTACACCATTCAAACCCCAAGAAAATTTCTTGCAAAATACTATTTCATCAATGGGCTGTGAAGAACCTTATGATATATCATCAATGTCCACCTTATTCAGACCTCATCCTGCAAATATGCAGAAAACATACAGCCAGGTAATCAATAATAATAAAGTGTTAACTTCAAAATCTGGTGTTCCGAACCCACCGGCGTATAATTCACTTCAACAGAGTGCTCCATTTATCCCCGTCGCTAATATGTATAATAATAAAAACATCACGCCAACTTTATTAGAAAACTTTAAATATCCTCCTCTCTTCACTTTACCCTATAGAAAAAATCAACCACATCCACAACAATACCAGTATTCTACAATTCCTTTAGTTCCAGAATCGTATGGTCTACAAAGTGATGCATTTCAAAAACTGTTACAGTCTACAGTCATTTCTAATCCTTATGCAGCCTGTGAAAATGCTTCACATGATATAAAACCTGAACAGTTAGGCAGATCACGTCTTTCACTGGCTTCATCACGAGGTGATTTAGACAGTGAAGTAGTTGTACAGTTAAGTTATTATTCTCAACGTGGCAGTGTACAGTCAGAAGAAGATTTATCCTTCTTTTCATATCGTGATGGATTTGTTGCAGATGAAGATGTATCGAAAGTGACTGTACCAATTAGTTTATCATTAGTTATTATGACTACTTATATACTTATTGGAGCGATTGTATTTTCTATATGGCAAGATCCAGATTATTTGAAATGGTCATATTTTTGTTTCATAACATTATCAACAATTGGATTTGGTGATATAGTGCCAGGTAAGTGAGTCAGTGAGTAGTTAGTTAACTATTCTTTATCCCTTACTGATGTTGTAATGAATACTCACCTAACAAAGTGAGTGCTTTTAAAATTTACAACTATCATTTGCGGCGACATTACGTTTGAGTTTCTTTTCAGAATTCAATAAAGGACAATAGTAACAGTTTTATTTTCACTGAAATAGGCATCATTCTTAAAATCTTAGTAATTTTGAGTTTTGGAATGTACCTAAAGACCTAAAAATATCCTTGTAAATCATGACCTGAATCCGACAAACAGAGGTTAATTATAATGTACGATTGATAGAAGAATTGGAAAATATGATTATGGGATGGCAAAATATTTAGATTATAGAATTTTTGGGGATTCTGGATTAATTTCAGTTGATAGATTTTCGTCAGGAACGAACAACAGTTAGAGTGATCACTGAATACTAGCCAGGAACACTGGACAGCTAGCTGTTCAGTCCTGTTTTGGCACTCTTCAACAGTACAAACCCACAACCACAACAGGGATCCAACCTGGGACTTTCAGGTCAGGAGACCAAGCTTGTCGACACCTCAGCCACTTGGGCTGGAATTCAGTGATCCCTGAATTCTAAATTTGTCAACTCTTGATATATTGTTTTCTTCATCATTGTCATTGGATTCCAACCCAAGTGGCGAATGCTCAACGAGCTGGGTCTTGTAAACTGAAGGTCCTGGGTTCAATCTCTGGTAGGATCGTGGGTGCAAACTGCTAGAGATTCTGAAAATAGGACGAAACAGCTCTCCAGTGTGCTCTATGGTTCTCAATGCTCTCTTTTATTGATGTTGCTTCATGGCAAAAATCTAACAAATGCAAAGTATTTGTTGAAAGGGAGATGTCTATACCAAGAAGTGTTTTTCTGTTTTATTTGAAATGAAACTGTACAGTAGAGTGCTGAATAAAAAAAATACGGAGCAAATGCACATTAACATTAGTTTTGAAGTTATTGTCCTGAAGGATGATGAAAGCTTTACAATTGAATCATCTAGCTAAGAGGACACAATAAGGCGGAAATAATTACTCAGTGCTAAACGTTCATTACTTACGACAATGCAGACATTAAACATAAAGGAATTCCCTACATATACTTCACTTACATGAAAATATTAAGGCACCCGTTTAACATTAATAACTGACAAGTCACCTTTAGTATTTTACTTATCTGAATAACAGTACACAACATCTCTGTTTTCAGAGGGGCTTTTTAGTATTCTCTTATCCAGTTTTAAAACGTGGAATTTCTTTGCATTCACAGTGAATGACTTTTATTCCATCCCTTAGTGTTGTGATACGAGATCCTGGGGCTTCAAGCTTGAGCTTTGACAATTCAGTAGCAGTGGTCTTTGTTTTTTACGGGGTGGGGTTACTAGTCTCAAACCTAACCTTCTCTCTTTACCAGGCTTACCACCTACTGGACGAGGTTTTCTTAGTGCGTCGCCAAGGAATTGAACTCTGCACCATATGAGGCGTGTTTGTAGAGCATTCTACGGACTGAACCACTAATGCACCCTGCGAATGAAGCCTATTGTTAAATAGAAGTGAGACATCATATCGGTTATCATGATTCCAATCAAATATTCTTTCAAGTTCGACCACAAATTGACATCAGTTGGGGAACCATTGAAAACCAGCGGGGAGTGCAGGAAAACTGTTTTGTCCTAGTTTGGGAGTGGGGACAGATACTCGCCGATGATATTGGCTAGTCGATCGCGCTAAAATCAGGGACTCGTGGACGTTAGGATTCCATCGCAGTGTCTGAATGGTGTACGAGCTTTCTTTGTAACCGGAAGGCCCTAGGTTCAAACCACAGTGGGTGCCTACTGGTCATGAGTCCTATACTAGGACGAAACGATTGTCCAGTACTGCCTGTTTTTCAATAATTTTCTTTTTTATCTCGGTTACGTAAAGTGCTCATTTTGCAAGTATATTACTATTACTACTCATATGCACATGACAAAGAATCACGACTGAAGGAAAATCTTTGATAAATTATCGGATTTCAGGATGTCACTTTATTATTATTATTATTATTGATGGAGTCTATGCAAAAGCGGTATGTCGGCTTTCACTTTAAGTTTACTTAGATTTCTGAAATATATATATATCATTCCATATTATATAAAACGATGTGTAATGTAATGAAACATTATTGCTTAGAGACCAGACAATCAATATCCACTTCCTGAGTTCTTTATATTCGGTTTGCTGGTAGACTTTGAGTTGCCGATAAAACTACTAATTTTTTATACATTTTAAGATAAGTTCTGTTATAAACTATTGTTAGCTAAAGAAACATTGACAACTGACAGGCAGTGGATATCTGTTTCGTCCTAGTTCTGAACTTTTCAGCAATATGCACCCATTACTTTGCCAGGTTATGAGGTGAAGAAGTTACCATGAAGGATTTATGGGCCATTGTTTCACTACCTTTTGGTTGGCCCTAGGTTCGCCCCTGTGGATTTAATGTATGCACACAGCTAAAAATCCCCAAAGCAGGACGAAACAAACGTCCGACTCTCATTGATTTTCAGGACTTCTCAAGATGATGTTAAGGTGTAATGAATTTCACCCTGAAATCAATCAAATCCCTACAAACCAACGCTTGAGAATTGTTTAAATACAGTCTGAAATTTTAGCTGATAGCAAGTTAAACAGACAGAACTGAATCCTATAGACAAACAGCTGTACAAAATCTTTATTTCTTAAATAAAGCCACTTACAATGAATCGGATAGAGGGTCTTTGTCGTATTCTATCCATTTCTGTAGCCTGTTGTGGACATTTAAAGATATTTTGCAGAATTACAAAGTCTAATATATATGTATGGCTCGTCGTCTGACTTGTGGTCAGTTAAGTTCGACTTGAATAAAACATGAGTAACAAATTGAGCAGGATAATATGACATCAGTTTATTGTATTAGATATTGTCAAACACATAGAACGTGAAACAATTTTTATACCAAAGTTCTCTAGTTAGGTAACCTGAAAGAAGCAGTTGATATTGTACAATTGAATACATGAGGAGTGGGAAGATAAAAGTAGTAACATCGGAAACGGTAGTTGTACATTATTAGATTAGTAAAATGGAGACAATACATGTTATGCAACAGTCAGATGACTTGAGTAGGTCTAATTTGTGAAAATAAACTGAGTAGTGCTAAGAGAATCAGGTCAAAAGCATGGCTGAAGATAGATAACAAAGGGTATAATTTGAGATTGTCAGAATAAGACAAAATTTAACCGAATATTATTTATTTCATTCATTTGCGTTCCAAGTGGAACATAGGACTTTAGGCTTGATCTTTGAAGTTTCAGTAGCAATGATTTTGTGTTTTACGGGGTGAGGTCGCTAGATACCTGCCAACCCTTTTCTCTTTCTCTGTCTTACTAGTGGCTAAAGGTGGTCTAGAAGTGCATTGGCTGGGAGTCGAGCCTAAGACACGAGTAGCGCGTTTCGCCAGCATTCGACCACTGAACCGCCGTTGCACGCAATTTAACTGAGGCAACTGAAAATTCCAGTCTCATAAAATACAGTGTAGTTTTCACCATGGAAGATAAAGGATTATCAACATTCTTTTGACTTCATTAGTTCTGTTTCGACTGCTTGATAGCTATCGCTTCAGACATACTTAATAAATTGGAGTTGACTTGCAATTTAATTATCTCAAACGATTCTAAGAATACTCTTTCCGTGTCCGCCATCTGTTGAATGACGAGCGACCGCACCACTGAGTGCTTTTAGACATTTGACAGTCGCAGTTCTCTTAAAATTTGCTCAGAAATGTGGTCACAAATCCATTTTTTCTTCTTACTGCGTATATACTTTGGCAAATAATGTTTAAATTTATAGATGTGTAATTATTATTACCTTGGGTTCCGAGTGGAACATAGGGCTTCAACAACACATCTCCACTCTGTTCTATTCTCTGCTGTCCCCTTCATATGGGTCCACGATTGTCCATAATCTACCATCTCCTCCTCATCAAGTGATCTCCTCCATGTCACCCCAGCACCGACGTCCCACTCGTCGATTCACATTGGCATTCCAGTGGAGCTATGGCAATGTCAATCGACGGTATCCTCAACGAAAACCCAATCCATTTACATTTTCTTCTACATATTTGTTGAGCAATCGACTCTTGGTTGGTTTGTCCTCAGAGTTTCTTCTTGCTAATTGTTTCCTGCCGGCTGGCCATTTGATCTTCAACATGTAATCAGAGAAGGCAGTTGTTAATAAAAGTCTGTAACTTGATGGAAATGCTCTTCGTGACAGCCACATAGTACAAGTTTCCGACTCGCATAGAGGACTAACTGACTCAGCATTTGTGTTGAAAATCCGAATCTTGTTCTTTATGCTGGCTGTGTGCAGAAGATTTCCAAACCAATTTCAGCATGATGAAAGAGTATCTTACCTTTCAAACCCTGTTTTTAACGTCTTCATGCAATCATAGTTGAAACGATGCTGCTTAGCTAGATAAGTGAAGGAATTAATCTCTGTCGAGTTTCTCTCGTTGATGGTGCTTGATGCTGGTTGTTGTTGCTGTTGATAGTGGTCTTTTCTATGTTCATCTGCTCGCCTCGTCAGGCAGTTCTTTGGTTTTCACCTGCCTCAAAGTCTTCGAGCTTATGTGACATTAATAGATGTAGTCAGGAAAAACATGATAACGGTGATTTCAACCTCACACTGTAATATTCAGCAACTTGTTCTACAAAACTTTAGTAACCTAGCAACTGGATAAATCCTCTTGAGGGTAGCACTTATTCCGTTTTCAGTTTTTAGTACACTTCGTCACTTTCGCACTCATATGATGTGTTCTCCTGAGTTTATGAGTAAACTGTTGAGGACATTTATTGTCTCGTAGGCATGTTTTACCGATGGAGAGCTCCTAATCAAGCCTCCATTTCAAAAAAATTTACTGTTTTGGTAGAATATCAGCCATAACTAAGTCCTTAATTTCTAACTTATCAGACAA